ATTCAAACAATGCATTAAAGCTTGTATGTGTTCATTCAGTTTTCTTGTAGTGGCTACAATAAGCACTTGTATAAAGTATAAAATACAAGTTTTTTAACCACTGTTTAAATGGGGAAAAAAGACAAAGGCAGTATATTTCTTTTCAACAAAACACAGAAACCTTTTGAGTAAAGGTAATATGATTACTTTTTCATATGTTCTTCCCCCCCCCCTTTGTCTTCCATTCGTTAATAATCAACACCATTCAATACTAATTTCACCTCAAATTTTACAAGAATAATTGTATTAAACTTCTTATTTGCAATTAAAATATGCCAAAACAAATTAAACAACCTCTCTATGTTAGTCAAGTAACAGCACAAACCATCTACTTAAAAAAAAAAACAAAGTCAAATGACCTTGTTTCAAAATACCTATCAGCCATTTTGTGTATAGCATCCATTTTGTGCACTTGCAGTTACCTCCTCTTTAAATAATAAGAATTCATTTGATTAAATTCACTACAAATAAGCCTTGAGAACATAATCACAATGCTTAGAAAATAACTTTCTTCCAGAACAGAACAATAAGTAACATATTCCACTTCAATAACTAAGTAGCATGCTTACTGAAATGCTACACAATTCAGTCCTGCATATTTGAAGCATTAAGCTACATTCATTTTCACACTTTTGATAATCTGCTTCATAAAACTACATCTAACTTGTTTATACCACTGTCAGAAAGCATCTTCCCCTTCTATAACGAATTATACAAAGTTCTATTCATTTCTTAAGTAAATCTCAAATGAGATTAAAAAAAAAAAATAATAATAACATAAAAAAATACCAAAACTACACAATTAAATTACTTAGATACACTAGAGCCAAAAGGAACCAATATATGAAGAATACAACCAATCTCTATTCTATTGAATACTTTCCATGGATTTTTTTTTCTTCATCCATGATTTCCAATACTATGCACAAATTCAAGTATTTGTAGAGGAATAAACAGAAATAAAGAATTCATCATGTAAATGGTGACCTTTCCCTTTCAAAAGAGGCAGATGCAGAAAGCTTCAATCTCATAAAGTACAGCATCCTTTTCATTGTTAATCAACTAATATTTGAAATAATTATCTACCCTTTTCACTGAACTAATGAGGTGTCTGATCCCATATAGACAACTAGCAGTTTAACTCATTCACAAAATATTTAATTTTATTATCAAAGTAATTAAGCATGCTTAGTAATTTTTCCTTATCAAGACAATTTTTTTTTCACAGGCATGATTTATATCTACCTTGTTTACAGATTACTGTAAATGTATTACATTTGGTGTGTATGATATTTGGCGGAAATTCACTTTTTCAACAAGTTAGATGATTTAGAGGTTTCTGAATGCGCTAGTCTAGATATAAATGCATAATATGCAAGACATTTAGTGGTGCACTTGATTTAGCAGACTCTGCTTTCTGCCAAAATTGTTAAAAGAATACATTGCCAAATCTAATACATTTACAGTATTATTGTTTTTCAGTAAGAACTGGATCAGGGGTTCAAAATTTTTTTTGTCATGGTCAAGTCCAGGACTTAAAGAGTAAATTTTAGGCAAGTCCGAGGAAGAAATTTGAAAGTCCATATTAACCTCTACATCATTAAATTTATGTTACTTATAATTTATTTTCATTTGTTGCATTGAATGAATAAAGACTATATGTATTAATATATGTTTTATTTTTCCTCCATAAACTGTCATATAGTCATACATGAGTATTTCAAAAGTACCAGACTGATAGATTATTGGTACATTAAAATAACTTTTACAAATACTCACTACTGAATAAACCATCTGTTACAATAAATAGCAGTTAGAAGGTGCTGTAAGTCAAAGCTAAAACCGAAATTACTAATAGACTAATTGCCGTTTGTCAATAGGAGGAAACATGAGGAATTGCGTAAAAGCAAGAATCTAACCGCAACGGAAAATAAAAAGACGGATTGTATTAAACGTTCGTAATGTTTTATGGGTATTTTAACGACCACAAACCCACATTTTTACGTAATACATTTGAGAATTTGCTTTATTTTTAGCTTTACGATCATTTTTTTAACTTAAAAAAAAGATAAACAAAAAACATAGCCAAGTCCCAGGACTTTGGGGAATTCTAAATGCCGAGTCCGGATCCGGAATTTGTTAGTCCGGGACGTCGGGCTTGAGGAATTTTGAACCCCTGACTGGATGTACTAAGTAAATATAAAGTAGAACTTCATTAAAATGTACTGTGTTTAAACTAAGACTTTCAAAATTGTTACTAAAATTGAGTGCAAATACATGCATGTCTTTTTATATGCAGTACTTCACCATTTTATCTTAATAATATTCATCTATCTCCATTATTTAGAAATACTGTTTTACAAAGAAAAGAAATATTTTAACATCCATAAAATATGATTTAATTTTTATGAAAGAGAATAAACACAGACTTTCAATTTTTAAAGTTCTACAAAAAATGCTTTTCTTCAAAGATAGAAAAATTACAGTAAATTCTATAACCTACTAATAATATGCTTATTCAACTTTACCAAATCATGCTAATGTGCATAAATTTTGTCTCCAGTGTAATCCTTGCAAGTAATTATAAAAAGTAAAGAAATTTCATAAGAATAACATTTACCTCCCTTTTTTGAATAAAACAATATAAATTCAACATATAGAAATTATATTACAGACAAATATTTTTAGATAGATATCATTTTTAACTTTATTAAAATTGACCATTTCCATTTGAAATCAAAAGTATATTATATAAAATAATTTATATCAATCATAAAAATATATTAAGAAATGTTCTAATAGGATTAATTTTTTAAGGATGTCCTTCTTTTCTGAACCTGAAAATTTTATCTGATTTTTCGTTATGCTTTAGACCAGTTTAGCTTATTTGGTAGCTAACAAAAGATCACAGAAAAGGATTCAAACAATGTTTCATTAAAGTTGTATTTTTTTAAAAGATCCAATATAAAACGCAGAGAAAAAATTCACATTTTCATTTTAAATAACGTTCAAGAAATCAGTTTGCAGAAAGTTTGGCTCTTTTTAAAGTTCTAAATATTAGATGCGCTAATCTATGACTGTATGAAATGCAAGTACAATATATGTAAATTGTAAATGCAGAGTTTCTTCCCTTGAGCTTAGGATGTCTTTTACAATCGAGGTAAAGATACAATGAAATCTCATCAAAATGCCTTTTCTTCTCAAAATCAATGCATTTTTATCAGTAGAAATGATCACACATTTTTGGTATTTTTACCTTTAGAGAATTGACGTAAACAAGTGGGAAGAGACAATTAACAAAAAAACATCATTGTGATTGCTAAATGCATGCTCTTTTATGGAAAAAAATCCTTGCAGCATCAAAAAGTACACTGAAAGATATTATAAGCTGCATCACCAAGATGCAATACTGCCTTAGCTATAAGCTCCTTTAATGGCAATGAAGAAAAAACCTTCAATATTATTGAAAAATCATTCCTTGAAATACTTTTACACATATCCATTACTATTTTCATTTTGTTTCCTTTTCCATTCTAGTTACCCTTACCAAAGATAACTAAACCAGAGTGAGTAGGGTTTTCACAACTGCATTTGTTGTTTACAGCATCAAAGGTTAAAAATACCCCAAAATGTGCAGAATTACTACAAAACAAAGGTTAATGGAGCAAATATATACACGAAATTGCAATGATTTTTGTATTATATCCATTTGATGATGAATTTAGGTACATAAAAGTTATGGCATTGCATGTACTGTATTGCAAGAATTGTATCATTTCTCTGAAAAAAACTAAGTCCACAAACGTGGTAATTTTTCTAAAATGGGTCCCACTTAAATTCATTTTTAATGAAGGTCAAATCAAAGTCATGATACTAAAGAACATTAATAAACAAAAATTAGATATGTTCAGCAGTTATTATGTGCATATTTTGCAAATTTGCATTTAAAACTGCAAAAATTTACTGTAAATTTATCAACAAACCTTTCCAAAGTGCATGTATTTTTTAACATATTTTTCGTGACAACCTATGAAATAATGCCTGATTTGTGTGTAAACAAGCGCAATACACTAAAATAAAGGATATACATCATTATGTATTATTAAAAACATGCATTATTTCCAAACCAAGCTTAAAATACACCAGCCTTTCAAGAATTCTCAACTTTTCAAGATGGCGTCCAATGTGCACAACGTAGCAAAACTGGCATTCTGGGGAAATGTTCCGCCACTTTCTCAAAATTACACGTAAAATTGCTGTAAATAAACATCTTCAACAAAGAAAAAAACAAATTGTTGCGACAAACCTTGCTCATAGTGAACGTTGCATTGTCCGTGTCATGGCTTCGCGTACGGATTGCACTGCGGTAAAATCGAACATAAATTCCTTTCTAATCACGTGTCATGCTCACGTCATGAGTGTTCCTAAAATGCAAAATACACAAAAATAATCACTTTACAAACGCAATCCAAAAAATAGCAGAAAATAACCATTTCTGAAGGTAAATTACGAACCTTTAATAAGCAATTTTTGACCAACTTCTTTCCTACTTTTCCAAGCGAAGACGTGCAGATATCACGGTACCGCGAAGGAAAACATGCTTTAATGTCTATAAAAACTTGCACAAACAAATTCAATTCAGTCAGAACATAAATTTATGTTTGTTTTACCGTTTTGTTCTTCATTGTTTACATTTTTTCTTTATCACAACCACCTCAGACGATAATCAACAAATATGGCTGCTGACGAGTTATTCCACGCACTGCATTCTGGGTAATGATATGCTAATGAAAATATTTCGCCAGGTGTGACAACGTTGTTTCAAGGGTGTCATTTGGTATTTTTCATATTCAGGCTATAATATTTTGGTATGCTTAGTATAAAATAATTTTATAGTCGGGGAAAAATTTCTCATAAGATAATAATGATTTGTAACAAATTTTCTCTTCTTCAGATATGGGGGTTCAGTAGTGTAGTGGTTATCACGTTCGCCTCACACGCGAAAGGTCCTGGGTTCGACCCCCAGCTGAACCATATTTTTTTTTTTCACCTATAAATGGTGTTAATAGAGGATATTCAATGTTCTGTAGTTGAATATGAATATGTTGAATACGAGTGGGACAGGAGTTTTTTTTTATACTTTCACGAGTGCAAAGCACAAGTGAAAATATCAAAAAATTCTGTCTCACGAGTGAAATAAATTCCAAAACATTGAATTTTCTGTTTATTACATTTTCTTTGATTTTCCCTTTGCCTATTTGTCTTTTTGTATATATACAGTCATAGGCTATAAATAAGGACCACTCTTTAAAACTTCATAAAAGCAGAAAAATCACATCAAATATCAAAATATATTAGGTATTAGCTGATAGCATGACTAGGAATTCTCATAATCTAGTACACTGTATGTCACTAAAGCTTTCAGATAAGTTTCAATGTTTAATTTTCCTGGTCCAGTGGTTTTCCAGAGAAAAATTCTTAAGGTACACTAATACTCTGATAAGAGAGATATAAACTCTTAATAACACAAAAGTCTATCATTCCTTTGTAAATTTGTCATGTTTAAGTGCCTTTTCTGTCAAATTTTGCCCTGCAAGCCATGCTATAATTGTTTGTATTTTATTCATCATATACATTTAAATTTCCTTTGGAAAATCATAAAAGTTATAATTTTCATTTAAATATTCTTTATTATCTCCCCTTGAAAGAGGATATGGTTCTTCATATGAACTATCTTGCATTCTCTTTTAAATTATTTCTCAAGAATGCTTCAAACTGACCCACTGCATGCTTTTACCGACTCAAATTGCTTCAGTTGCAGTTCAAACATTCCAATAAAGCTGAGAATTCAAATAATTCAATCCACAAAATATTATTTAAAAAAAAAACACCATGCAATTACTGTAGATCACTTAATTTTCGCGACACCTTATTTTCGCGAGATAGTCATTGACTCTTTATTAGCGTGACAGAATTTTCACGAATTGGGGTCATTGCTCTATATAATCTTATGAAATTCTAATATATGCGAGAATGAAATTTTCGCGAGCATACCGTCTCGCGTAATTAAGCCAAAATAAAGTTCTCGCGAATTAAAAGTGATTTACAGTACCCAAAAGTATTTGTGTTGCCTTAACTAAATAACTAAAATGTCTTGGTAAGTAAAAAGACCTAAATCTTCTTCAATATATAATGTAATGAATTTTCAATGTATGATTGTCTTATCCCAATTGAGGATTGGGATAAGACAGTCATACATTGAAAATTCATTGAAAAACTAGAGGCCTCTATGCTGAGAGGTCAACTTCAATCCTATATTTACAAATTTAGAGTCAAAAGTTCCAACTTTTAGGTTTGCCAGATACTTTAGTGATAAAATTGAAAGTTGTGGAATTTTAAGCTACTCAGAGGAGGGAGAGAGGGGTGTGTGTCTAATTACAGACATAAAACTAATCTCCCTTAAAATACTGAGTACCTCTCACATTATTTCCTATTGGATGGTGTTGAGGCATTTCACTGAATAAATAAATATCAAAGTTTTCCATGATAAAATTAATTCCCCAGGAATAAAGTTTAACACTGCTGAACAGTTGTTGTTGAAGTTGTTATTTTTTATAACATATTTGGAACAAAAACAGATAGAAAAGAAATTTTTGAATGAATGGTATGTAAATTTGATTGGTATTCAGGGATTAATGTTTAAAAAAAAAATAATCAAACATTTATTTAATAAATCTAGAATATTAAATCAAATTTTCACCATTTTGCAATAGATCAGTAAACTAGCTTACAATACCCACAACTAAGTGTGTTTCTTAACTCAGTCATAATTAAAATATTGTAGAACTTTGACTTGAAAAGTTCCCAATGATTAAAGAAATATTTAAAATATGCAATTAAATGTGTACAAATCAATATTTACCATTTTTTAAACACAAAGTTTTCCAGATTAAAGGCATGTAGCTGAATTTTTTAAAGTTTCATTTTAAAAGGAAAATTATTGAAAAAATGCTTTAAGTATATCCAGAATGCCCCCCCCCCCAACAAAACCAGAGGATAAACATAAGTTGGAATGAAAAGTTAAATGGGTCTTTGGCTCAACAGACACCTGTAGTATGTGTATGTAAAATGTGACAAGGATTGCATCTGTTCAGAATCACACTGTATATACGATTTGCAAAGAAAAAGAAAATTAGCATTTTGAAAAACTAAACATTTATTCAATAAAATTAACATGGTAGATAAAAAGTGGATTTAAAATGCACTCTGTAAAATGAAAGAAAAATGCAATAAAATCATATAATTTAATAAGAGTTAAAAATTTGAAGTATTGCAAAGAGTAATACATGTACATTAATTACATGTACCATATAAGCATTTGCATTCAGAGCTTTTCATCAATGAAATATGTAAAATCTACTAATCACACTCCAACATTCTAGTCAAATTCTAAAATTCTGAATCACCAAGGCAATTTAAACAAATTTGACATGAATTTTTTTACCATTCACATTTTCAGAGTTTATTTGTAAAAATTACTTTGAATGGTTATATACATGCATGTACGTAGCACTATTAATATTCCTGTAAATAATTACATTGTACTTGTATATGTAGTAACAAAATGTATACTTTCAATTAATGATAGTAAATATTGTCTTTTTTATAAAGCATATGAAATTTTGTAACTTGCCTTTCTGGAAAACATGCAAGGTTGCAATTCCTGGGTGTTTTGACTAGCATAGTATCTAAGAAAACTAGATGTTTTGACCCATTCCTGTCTTTAATTTGAGAAATACACTTTATTTCCAAAGTAAAAATATGGCCTGATTTTAACGAAACATATTTCCTAAAACTGCTATATCTACATGTAACTTATGATATCTTTAATCTATCAATTTCCATTATAATGAGATGAATGCACTTTGATTAGATTAGACCTGCTTCATAAGTAAATAGATGTTAATGATGATACATGTGAACACACATATATACTAGTGAAAATCCCATCAGAAAAAATTGTCAATCTTACTAATTCTACAGCTGCTAGGTGTGGATATATGAACTGCTTTCACTGACATCAGGAAAGACCCCCTGTGATATGGCTTAGAAGTACTTAGAAGTATATGTGAATTTACTCTACAGTATATTGTATTTTGTTAAAATTACCTCACATTTTTCATTTTGTACGCATTAATGGTGGAAATAGTTTTATTTATATTCAGTTGTTCACGACTGCATACCAACATGGTAATTGTCAATAAAATGAACTGAAAAATAATAATAATGGCACATACTCCCACCAGCCCTATATAATTAAACCTATATGCTCTACAATCATGTACATTAATGTGAAAAATGGATGCATGGCTCTTTGCACACTTTTAGTATATTATTATGCAAATGAGTTTGCAAAATGCAAAATGTTAACCTTTTCACAACAGCTAGTATATATAAAACATCTGGCAAAAACATGTAACTTAAAAAAAAACTTAATATTACTTGCTAATTTTGAAGGTTAGTTTCTCCAAATTAACTTAAGGACTACTGAGGATGATTCCACATGATTTCATCACCTGGCCCAATTTCTGGAGAACAAGATTTTTAACTGGAAATTTTCCTATATATTCCTATGTAAAACTGTCATATATTGGCATATATGCAAAGAAATATTTATATCAAAATAAAAACACTTAAAAATTATATTTTCATCTTTAAAAAAAAAGTGGTTCTTCAAAGAAGATTTTCCTATATATTCCTATGTAAAACTTGGCGCCATTCTTGCCCTACCTTTGCCCCAGGGGTCATGATTTGAAAAACTTGTTTAACTAAAATGAGTGATTCCACACGTTTCATCTTTCCTGCCCAGTTGGAGAAGAAGATTTTTAAAGATTTTTCAAATATATATTCCTAATGGAAATTAATTCATGCATGCATATATGGACGGATGACTCAAGATACTGAATACATTCATATATAAAAATAAAAATAAATGTATATCTAAAATAAAAGCAGTCATAACAAATTAAATTTTTCATAAAAATAAAAAAAATAAAAAAAATCTTCAACATAAAATTTTCAATGAAATTTGCAAGCATCCTGCAGTTAATTCACACAAGACTATTCTGAAATCTATTCACTTGATACATGTTTTTCTAAAAAGAAGTTTTTAAAAATTATTTCCTATAGATACTATGTAGAAATCTATGTCACACATATATTAATTCATGATTTGAAAAACTTGAATCTACACTACCTGAGGATGATTCCACATGAGTTTCATCTTTCCTGGCCCAGTGGTTCTGAGAAGAAGATTTTTAAGATTTTTCATATATTCCTAGAAAACTTGGGTCGGCCATTTTGGAGTAGCCCCGGGGGTGTAGCATAATACAAACTTGATACACTACCTATTGATTCCACATGAGTTTCATCTTTTTGGCCCAGTGGTATCTTGAGAAGAAGATTTTTAAAGATTTTTTCCTATATATTCCTATGTAAAACTTGGGTAAAATTTTGGCCCCACCCTAGCCCCGGGGGTCATGATTTGAACCAAACTTGAATCTTTCCTGAGGATGATTCCACATGAGGTTCATCTTTCCTGGCCCAGCGGTTCTGGAGAAGAAGATTTTTTAAAAATGGCATTAATTTTTAACAAATTCATGATTATCTCCCCTTGGAAAAGGGCGTGGCCCTTCTTTGAACAAACTTGAATCCCCTTCACCCAAGGATACTTTGTACCAAGTTTGGTTGTGCCCAGTGGTTCTTGAGAAGAAGATGAAAATGTGAAAAGTTTACGACGACAACAACGACAACGACAACGACGACGACAACGACAGACCACGGACAAAATTTCAATTTAAAATGCTCACTTGAAAGCCTTGGCTCAGGTGAGCTAAAAATGCACTTTTTTTAGTATATTATTATGCAAATGAGTTTGCAAAATGCAAAATGTTAACCTTTTCACAACAGCTAGTGTATATAAAACATCTGGCAATAACATGTAACATAAAAAAACTAAATATTATTTGCTAATTTTGAAGGTTAGTTTCTCCAAATTAACTTAAGGAACACTTTATACTCATCTGTGCTGAAAAACGCTCATTTTAGATAAGCAGTTGGATGGATATTTAAACACAGTAGTATTGCCAACTGGAAATTAATTCATGCATGCATATATGGACGGATGACTCAAGATACTGTATATATTCATATATGAAAATAAATATATATCTAAAATAAAAACAGTCATAACAAATTATATTTTTCAAAAAAATAAAAAAAAAAATAAAAAATCTTCAACATAAAATTTTCAATGAAAGAGCCATAGCGCATTTGATAGTCACTTTCGCCTACTCTGATAGTGAGTTCTTAAATACAGTTTAACCAAAATTTTGTCATACAACGTTAGTTTATACATGCCTTGAAGCAAATCACACAAAAATAATATTCAAATATTAATAGTTCCCTAATATGATAGATATAAAAATCGTTATGTTTATATGGAGAATATAGTAAATACTGAGGTCTCCCTCTAAACAATGACAAACTGTAGCAAAAAAAACACCCTTAACCTGAAAAACAACTTCTGAATAATTTTATTTGGATATGACTGTACTTCATTACATTTAGATAATTTTGGTTAAAGGTGGTCTTCATATTGAAAATGTTGAAAATAATTGTATTAATTCTTCTTCTCAACATTATTTCATCTGAAATTCATCCATCTGATTACAATGACTTTGTGGCATGGTGGTATAACTGCTGGATTGTAGGCATAATGATCGTGAGTTCGAGTCTCACAGTGTGTGTTTCTTATCTATGCTTTTATTTTTTTTTCTCTCTGTGCATTTTTCCTATGTTTTCTTTAATCATTTTATAGTACATGTATAAATAATGTAAGCGATATATATTACAACATTACACATTGAAAGTATCTCTGTGAAAAACAGTCCTAAAGACCTAAACTATTTTAATGACCCAAAGTCATAGCTGCTAGATTGTTTTATTTCTAACAATCTTGTTTAGAATAAGAGTATTGAACAAGTAAAATGATTGTCATGTAACAAACTTGCAACTATGAAAATATAACACTGGTCCACAAATGATTACATACATGTAGTTTGATCTTGAATTGAAAAGGTACATGTATCTATAAATAGAAACAGGTGATTTCCTTTTAAATACTTGAGTTGGCCGTGTTATCGCTAAGGCAGCTATGGCTCTTTGCAAGCATCCTGCAGTTTATTCACACGAGACTATTCTGAAATCTATTCACATGATACATGTACTAAAAAGTCAAAAATCTATTCACAAGATACTATTCAGAAATCTATTCACACAACCCTATAATTCATCTTTCAAAACCTTAACCAGGGCTCTCACTTCCTTTGAGATAAACAGTTCAATATGCCAGACTAGAGGCGTATACATGTTGATGATTTACCCTCTCACAACACATGATATAAAAGTTAATCAGACTTAACTCAATACGAGTTACGTCCTGTTAAGGAGGCAGAGATAAGGTCAAAGAAAAATAACTCATTGTATAACATTGTAAAATTGTGTAGCAATATTATTCCTTATACACCTTGTGTACATCATTGTATTGACGATTCATTTTGAGGAATTAATTGATAAAGCCTTGACAATAATTGCCAATCATTGTTAATCTATTTCGTCAACATAATTTGCCTGTCTAGAGCAGTATACATGTTGAACTTGATAATTTACCCTCTTATTATTGCAGTACAAATAGATTTATCCAATATAAACAATTAATTTGCATGGCTAAAGCAGTATACATGTTGACGATTTCTTTTTGGGGGTATCATCCACTGCAGAGTCAGTGCTGATTGGTCCAGTCTTTACTTCCTGTGGTTTGTCATTGGTCACAGCTTTGGTCATGTGACCTTCTGATGATGTTTCCTGGTTCCCGACAAGTTGCTGGTTATGAACTTTTTCTGTTTCATTATGTCCTTGACCTTCCTGTTGAAACTCTTCAGGAATGTTCTCTCTGATCTTCTTCAGAAGATCATCAAAACATTTTCCCTCCCATGATAACTGAATGGACTCATCCTTTGAGAAGTTAACATACAACAGTTGTGTAAGAACCATGCTCATTGGTCCACCTGGGGGCCAGTCTATTTTTTCCATCAGCATGGGGATGATAGGTTTCTTCAGAGCATCAGCCAGACTGACTTCTCTCCTACAGTTGGCAGACAGAGCGTACTTGGTGGTGACTGAGGACAGGACGACCTTACAACCTCTGACCCCACGGTCAATCTTGTCATACAGGGAATCCCCTCCCCCCATTTGGTGGATGTCCATCCAGCAGGTGAAGCCCTGACTGGTCAGTCTCTGGTACAGGGCTGATATCTCCTTCTGTTTTCCCCACTGGTAGGAGATGAAGATATCAGGGGAAACCACCTTATCCTGAGTGAAGATAAAATACACACACATGTTCAATAAGAATGACTGAATCAAACACATTTGTAGATGTGTAATACTAGTATTCATTCCCTGTTAAATCCAAAGAATAGTATATTTGCACTCTGTAACATTGTTTAATTTTCGCTATCTGATCAATAAAATAAAAAAAAAACCACACTGTTGAAATTAGCAACATGCATTCTACTCATGTATGTTTTGTTTTTCGCAAAAAAGATTGAAAAAATAAAACAAATAGAATTAATTGGAAAAGTATAACATACCATTGGTTTGTTTGTGGGTACAGATGTCTTGTTGACTTTGTCCTGTTTTTTCTTTGGAATCACAATCTTCTCTATGACTGGAACCCACCAGTTCTTATACTCTGAATGAACAGATTCAAAAGAAAGATTACAATAACATAAATCTTACACAAGAAGAAGCACTGTAGGTACAAGTAAAAGCTTAACATTAACTATAAGCAGTAAAATCATCAAACTTAAAAACTCCAAACTCTGCTCAATCAAATTCTCCATGCTCAATAAATTGAATTGATAATATTTTATTGACAAAGAATCAAAAGGATCATATGCAACTACAAAAACTTTGTAACTCAAAATTAATTCTTTAATAATAATGTTAAGGTATCCAAATATACCCCATCTAAATTAAGATGTGCCTTAAAGGATTGAGTCAAATTATTCTCTAAGAATCAAACAGACAATAACCCTGAGTGACTGAGGCTAACTCACCTTTGGAGATTATTTTCTCATCTGGCATCACTTTTAAACAGTTGAGCTGCATGAGAAGTTCCGTAAACTTGGCAGCTGGCCAGATTCGGTCATCCTTGGTTTCCTCCCCTGGTCTTTGGAAAAATCTGATGAACAAGTACTCACTGAAGATTGGTCCCATTGAACCCGTGGGGGGCCAAGGCATTTTCTCTAACAGAAGCGGGATCATTGGTTTACCAAGGTTGACTGACAGGTTGACCTTAAATTAAGGCAGAAATAGCTGATATCATCTGATGTGTGCATCACCATAGGACTTATAGAACACTAACATCGATGCCAGGGTTTTAGCATAAGCTATCTAGACTCTAAGTTTGATAATTAAACTTGATGTAAGCCTACCTCTCTGTTACAGTTGGGTGATTTTGCGTATTTCTCTGTCACACAAGAGATGACAACTTTGGCCGCCCTAATCCCGGAATCAATCTTCTCAAACAGCTTATCCCCACCCCCCATCTGCCCCACATCCATCCAGCATTTATACCCAGCCATCTCCAGGTGGCGACTGATGAGTTTGACCTCATTCTGGTGACCCCATTGGTAACTAAGGAAGATCTCAGGGGGTTCTGGGTAATCAACTGGTTCATCCACCACAACACCCTCTAGAAGGAAAAAAACTCTTTTACCCAACGTTCATTTTACCGAGTGTGAGTTATAAAAAAAATTGATAGTCTTTATAGTTTAAGGGTGCCGACTATAGTTTTATTGTGTGAAAACTACAATAGCGAAACTCTTCATTTTTATACCATATAACTTACATGAAACTCTTCATTTTTATACCATCTAACTTACATTATCTTCAGTGTACATGCAAAGTTTGGGGGAAATCTATTGTCCAGGTATTTTTGAGGGACCGTCTCAAACTACAAGTACATTTACTATAATTATATAGGAAAATGCCAATTTTTAGCACTTTAAAGCAAATTATGCAAATACTACAATAGACATTTTGTTCAAACTATAATATTTGATGAGTAATACTATATTATACAATATATGTAAGAAACACAAAGTTCTACCATCTTGTTACCAGAGGGGGCATCTCAAAATGCAAATAATTAGCAAATTTTACTATTTTTATAGAGTACTACAAAATATGACGTACACAATGGATTCACACGAAAACATAATAAAAATATTGGAGATATTCTCAAATGTCTATGTTTTAAATTTCAACTGCGTTTGTTTATTACTTTTTCTTTAATAATATTTTTATTACCCCTTTCTTTTAGAGCTTCAGATTATCATAACATCAAAAACACACTGTAGCGACGTCAACCTACCTATCAATTGCATAATCGGTTAAAAAATCAGTTATATCAAATTTTGTTACATTTTTATACCTATAATTTCTTAATTTTGTTTAATTCTAATAATTAAACGAAAAAAAGTTCCATTAAAACAGTAAATACGCTTCATTTTACCATGATGTGCGAAATATTGTGCATTGAAAACTATAGTCGGCCCCCTTAAAACCAATTTATCGATGCATGTGTGGATTCTTTTTATATTATTAACAACAAATTTTGTTTGAAAATGTGTGTACATTGTATAACAAACCTGCAGCTTTCATGGCATTTTCTACAATAATGGCAGCATCCAAACGATTCATCTCCTGCAGGATATTCAGCACCCCTTTAGATGCCTCAAATGTCTTGTGTGTGGCATACCATTCACTCAGCAGGGCCATGCAGGGATCTGATTGGGTGGCCCAGCCTCTGATGTCATCAGGACTGTAACCAAGGCGACTAGCCAGTAGTCTCCAGTCATGCTCAGATTCCGGGTTCAACAGCTTTGTAACATCTCGAGACCAAGTAGGGGCATTACTCATTGTCTGAAATATTGTGTTTCCCAATTAAAAGTTATCTTACAGATTCAAAGTTGAACTCCTACACTAATTTTCCAAAGAGCTGATCCTGATACATGTATATCCCAGGAACTATAAACAATCGCACACTCACATTCAACTGCTGTAAATTACTCGCATATATTATGGATTGTAGTCTGTAACTGTCAAATATCTACTATAAATGTACTCCATAGTTTTGCATGCAAACAGAAGAAAATCACGGGGTTTATTTGTATTCATGCTAGTTACTCAGCCAAACTGAATCACTCATCTCCCTAAATTTCTTCATCTGTCCTGAAAAAACCTGTTGCATTCACTGGGGCAATTGAATGGTTCTCTTTTAAAACTTGAACAGAATTTTCTAGTTTCTCAAGTCTCTCTGAAAGGGAGTGGATATCTCTCTTTACAGAGGTAATCTGTTTCTCCATATTTAATTGCAGTAAAGCAAAGCAGACAGCTATGTCTTGGTTTTTGTAAATCTCTATTAACTCAGCCACACCTTTATTAGCCGCCAACTCTCCCCCAGGGCTACTGATATCACACTGTAAACATGACGGGGAAACTCCAAAATCAGTACTGATATAATAAATCATTTGAATTTTTATTCACTGTGATTAACACAAATTAACAATGAAAAAAATTAATTGTATTTATCAGCAAACTGATTTTTTTTTTCAAGGCACTTAACCTATATTTTAGCATAAAATGGGATAAATTTTACACAAAAAGAGGCAATGCTACTATAATTTCTGACAAAAGGTAATTACTATGATAGCTGTTAATTTATCAATCCTAACTCAGATGCTGACTACTCCAGACTGACCTTTTTATCCACCTCCTCCACCCTAAGATTCGTGTCCTCAAGGTCACCTTCCACGACATCCACCCTTTCGTTAACCTCCACTAGGTCCGTCTTGATGCCGTCGATTTCTTTACCCTGTTGTTTGACCTCTCTGTGAACTTTCTTCAGGACGACCTTTGTACCTGCTACACCAATCTCCACCTTCTCTATCTGTTCCTTATGGCTGTCAACATCCTTAGAAACTTTTTCCAAACTACAAAAAAATAAGTCATTCAGTGTTTTTAATGTCGAGGAAGATTATCTTCTCTATATTCTATACATCTCAGGAATTCTCTATATTCTATACATCTCAGGAATATTCTATACATCTCAGGAATTCTCTATATTCTTTACATCTCAGGAATTCTCTATATTCTATACATCTAAGGAATTCTCTATATTCTATGCATCTCAGGAATTCTCTATATTCTATACATCTCAGGAATTCTCTATATTCTATACATCTCAGGAATTCTCTATATTCTATACATCTCAGGAAACAACACAATAATCAGGCAGCACTAAAAGAGTCATACATCAATGAAAATGGTTATCTTAGACATCAGAAGAGGAACACACGTATCAACAAAAAAATCGTAATGTTTTAAAACATAAAAATGTGTACTTTTCTTTCAGTCAATACATAATAAATCTGTAATTCATTATCAATAGTAATGAATTAATTCATTTATTCAAACATAACTTTGAGAGCAAAAAGAGAAGGACACTCCAAAATACAGAAACAGAAATTACCATAAATCTGGAAATTTTTACGGCATTTTTATTTTGCGAATTCGGGTCAAAATGGTGTGTATTAATTTATACATTTCAAAATTTTGCGAATTACCACTGCTTTACTTACAATTTCTTATTAGTATTCATTTTTAAGAAAAAATATTTTTGCGAATGCAATGAACTCACAAATTTGCTAAAAATTCATCTACAGCAATTTATCCTGATTTACGGTAACTGATCACTCCACATGATATTTTTACTGGAGCAGGCCTAACCTTCTTCCTGCGAGTTCATCTTGGAGATCCTGAGCCACATCTTTGACGTATTTAGCCGGAGCATTTGTCGTCTGATTCTCTATCTGAGCCTTGACCTCCTCTGTGAAAAAGTCTGGACCACAAATCTCCAGCATCTCTCTCAGACCCATTATACAGGCATACAGCACATGCTGGTCAGTAGAACTCTTCAGTCTCTCAGTGAAGTAGTCAAAAACTGGTTTCTGGCAGTCCTTATAAAGAAAATTATGGTAATTAAAATATAAGTCGATGTCTACAACAACAAAAATTATTTTTCACATCATTTTGGGAGATAATGCTCATCTGTAGAAAAATCTTCAGAGTATAATTTTTTTCAAAAAAACCTGAGTTTTAACCTGTCCCATAATACCTTTACAATACAGAAAATAATATCTATAAGTCACCTTACAAACAGCAGCAGTCCTGGTGACAATGCTCATATGGTAACTAGCCATGGTATCCAACATCAGTTTGGAGTTCAGCAGGGGGTGAGGGATGAAGGGCCCAAAAAGGGCAGGCTGTGATTTGGATAGTATGTCCATGAAGATCAGCACCTGACTGTTAGCCGTGAAATCCATGAAGTGGACATCAAAGAACAGCTTCATAGTACGAGGAGTGAACAACTAAAGAAACAGACAACAAATGAAGGTGTTGTAATAATCTACAAAACTGTAACTGAATTAATTCAATGGGGTTGTAAGACAACAACCAGAAGTCTCTGTCGAGACTGTAGCTCTACTGGTTTGTACTTATAATAAAGGAAGAGAAAAGCAGCAGTTGGGACATAAACTTTACAAAAGCAATACATAGAATAATGATCCTTGATTAAGACTGTGGGAGTAGCCTTTGTAAATAAAATTTTACAGAATTTTCAATTTTAGTTACCATGGCAACATCGATCATCGAAATCCAAAACACAAAACTGATAACTATGTATCTCAGTGTAGTCTACTTGCATGCCAAATTATATTATAATCAGACTCAAACTGTAGGAGGAGTAGCATTTTGAAAGTATTTCACAGAACTTTCTATTTTTAGTAACCATGGCACCATTCATCTAAATTAAAAACCGATATATAGAATTATGTATCTTAGCATAGTCTACTTTTGTGTGAAGTTATATTGAAATCAGACCTAAACTGTAGGTGGAGTAGCATTTTAAAAGTATTTTACAAAAATTTCTATTTTTAGTAACCACGGCAACACCGTTCATCGATATTAGAAACCGATAAAAAGAATTATGTATCTTAGTGTATTCTACTTGTGTGCCAAGTTATATTGAAATCAGACAAAAACTGTAGGAGGAGTAGCATTTTGAAAGTATTTCACAGAAATTTCTATTTTTAATAACCACAGCAACACCATTTATTGAATCAAAAATCAATACGCAGAATTATGTATCTAAGTTTAGTCCACTTGTGTGCTAAGTTATATTGAAATCAGACCAAAACTGTAGGAGGAGTAGCATTTTGAAAGTATTTCACAGAAATTTCTATTTTTAGTAACCACGGCAACACCGTTCATGGAAATCAAAAATCGATATACATAATTATGTATCTAAGTGTAGTCTACTTGTGTGCTAAGTTATTTTGAAATCAGACCAAAACTGTAGGAGGAGTAGCGTTTTGAAAAATTGTTTACAGACACACAGACAGGCAGACGGACGGACGGACGCCGGACGCATAACTATCGCATAAGCTCTTCTGGTCTCTGACCAGTAGAGCTAAAAATTAATGACGGTGTTGTAATAATCTACAAAACTGTAACTGAATTAATATTTATGGGGTAATATGTGGATTTGCATTTTCTTTTAAGTCATGAAGATGAAGACATTCTGAGGAACTGTGTACATTAATAAACACACTAATTCACAATATATATTTACATACATCCAAATCTATGAGTGTTTCTTATCACCTTCCCAAAGCTCAAGGATAATAAAACTTATTTCCTACCTAGCTTGTAACACGAGCTTTGATTGGTTACAAAGTCTGGTGTAAATATCCGTGCACCCGACTTGAGCCGGGTGTAAATAAAACGTGACGTCACAATGCATACATTCTCAGTACGTAGTTATCTAATCGATAGATTGAGACACACTCTGATGTTTACAAAGCTTTTTTTATTGGTACAAAGGAAATAAATTCGTTATCCAGGTCCAATCAAGGGTGTACGGGGATTTACCCCGGGTTTTATTCCATACACCCTTCGGCCTGCGGCCTCAGGGTGTATGGAATAAAACCCGGGGTAAATCCCCGTACATCCTTGATTGAACCTGGATAACTAATAATACAATTCATTGGTAACAAATAATATCAACTCGTAAATCATGGGAAATCCTATACATATCTTGGAGAAAACAAATTTTATTTCAGTTTTTAATCTTTACCTGTGAAAAGACCTTTCTAAATAAAATAAAATATGATTTTTGACCTTGTGACCTTGAAGTTTGACCTACTTTTCTAAAACTTAAACCTTGGTCATAACTTCTAAATGAGTCAGAAGAGATAGGGCTTTCATATTAAAGTTATGTAAAGCCTGTGACAAGACCTTTATAAATTCACTATAATTTTTTACCCTGTGACCTACTTTTAAAATAATCAAGCATTTCTTAAAATTGGCCATAACTTTTGATTAAGAAGAGATAGGGCTTTCATATTAAACAAGTTTATTAACTGTGACAAGACCTTTTTATACATACACAGTGACTATGATTTTTTTACACCGTTAACCGGACCTTGAAGTTTCATCTACTTTTCAAAAAATTTAATCTTGGTCATAACTTTTGAATGAGAAGAGATAAGGCTTCCATTTTAAAATTGTGTATTGCCTGTGACAAAACCTTTCTAAATACACTATGACTTTTTATCCTGTGACCTTGACTTTGATGTTTGACCTACTTTTAATTAATAATTTTACTTTGACGTCATAATCAATCGTTGAACGCCGAGGAAGTGCAACGTCACAAGCGAAAATAAAACCAGAAGTCTCTGTCGAGACTGTATCTCTCCTGGTTTGTACTTACCGGTATAATAAAGAAAAGAAAAGTAGCAGTTGGGACTTAAAACTTTACAAAAGCAATAAATAGAATAATGATCCTTGATTAAGTCTATTTTTGAGGCAAGATTGCAATAAGACTACAGCTGTAGGAGTAACTTTTAATAAAATTTTACTGAATTTTCAATTAAAATTACTATGGAAACATAAATCGTCAAAATCAAAAACACAAAACTGTTAATTATGTATCTTAGTGTAGTCTGCTTGCATGCCAAATTATATTATAATCAGACTCAAACTGTATTCGGAGTAGCATTTTAAAAGTATTTCACAATTACTATTTTTAGTAACCAAGGCAACACCATTAATCAAAAATCAGAAACCGATACACAGAATTATATATCTTAGTGTAGTCTACTTGTGTGCCAAGTTATACTGAAATCAGACCAAAACTGTAGGAGGAGTAGCATTTTGAATGTATTCTTTAAAAATTCTATTTTTAGTAACAAGGACAACACCATTGATCGAAATCAAAAACCGATACAGAGAATTATGTATCTTAGTGTAGTCTACTTATGGGCCAAGTTATATTGAATTCAGACCAAAACTGCAGGAGTAGCATTTTGAATGTATTTCAAAAACATTTTTATTTATAGTAACAACGGCAACACCTTCATTGAAATCAAAAACTGATAAACAGAATTATGTATCTTAGTGTAGTCAACTTGTGTGCTAAGTTATACTGAAATCAGATCAAAACTGTAGGAGGAGTTGCATTTTGAATGTATTTTTTAAAAAATTCTATTTTTAGTAACAAGGGCAACACCATTCATCGAAATCAAAAACCGATAAATAGAATTATGTATCTTAGTTTAGTCTACTTGTGTGCCAATTAAGTCATATTGAAATCAGACCAAAACTGTAGGAGGAGTAGCATTTTGAAAAATTTTCACAGAAATTTCTATTTTAAGTAACCACGGCAACACCGTTCATCGAAATCAAAAACCAATAAATAGAATTATGTATCTTAGTGTAGTCTACTTATGGGCCAAGTTATACTGAATTCAGACCAAAACTGTAGGAGGAGCAGCATTTTCAATGTATTTCTAAAAACATTCTATTTTTAGTGACAACGGCAAAACCGTTCATTGAAATCAAAAAGCAGTATATAGAATTATGTATCTTAGTGTAGTCTACTGGTGTGCCATGTTATATTGAATTCAGAGCAAAACTGTAGGAGGAGTAGCATTTTGAATGGTTTTCACAGAAATTTCTATTTTTAGTAACAATGGCAATACTGTTCATTGAAATCAAAAACAGATATACAGAATCATGTATCTTAGTGTAGTCTACTTGTGTGCCAAGTTACATGTATATTGAAATCAGACCAAAACTGTAGGAGGAGTAGCATTTTGAATGATTTTCACAGAAATTTCTATTTTTAGTAACCACGGCAACACTGTTCATCAAAATCAAAAATCGATAAACAGAATTATGTATCTTAGTGTAGTTTACTTGTGTGCCAAGTTATACTGAAATCAGACCAAAACTGTAGGAGGACTAGCATTTTGAAAAATTGTTTACAGACAGACAGACAGACGGACGGATGTTGGATGCATTACTATCACATAAGCTATTCTGGTCTCTGACCAGTAGAGCTAAAAATCACGCTCAAATTGACCAGAAGCTGTTACGTTGCTGATCCATTAATTGTAGCTTACACAAAGGATAATACATATGTTTTTAAATGGAAATCACATTTGCAATTAAGGTAGAAAGTCAAAAAATGTAAATATAGGCAATGAATCATTATTTTTTGAAAGATATAGTCTCATAACTGCAACTGTGTGTGGAAACAAATTTTCTTAACGCGCGTCACTCAATTTTTTTGCACACACCGTTGCAGTTATGAGACTATATCTTTCAAAAAATAATGATTCATTGCTTCAGGGTGTTCATATTTTTCACAGTATGCGATAACAAAAATGACATCTCACCCACAAAGACACCAAAAGCGGGGGACCACAATTCTTTGAATTTGCTTGTTTTAATGAAAATTTTTTACTTTGTAACTATACATGTATAATAACCAGCTCTGTAAACTTTTGAATATTTGAGTTTTTCAGATGATTTTTTTCTACCTCTGGTTGAGTTTCAGCAATTTTCTTCAGCAGGAAACACTGCATGACAAAGCAGTTTGTTTCCTTGTCCTTGGCAAACACTTCCACTAGGTCAGTGAACCGCTTCCCAAATTCCTCAGGTCCATTTTCATAGGCTGCTTCTAAATTCACTGCAATAGTTAAAAGAATGAGAAAAATGTCTTTTAAATAAATGTAAATTCAACAATCTTATTGGAAACTGGACTAGAACAAGTTTTGTACATGGAAGAATTTCAAGGTACCACCTACAGTGTATTATGAACCATCAAATTATCTCAATTACAGTACTTGGTTTCCATGATAATTTTATGCATAAACGCCTTCGGCGTTTATGCAAATTATCATGCAAGCCAATCAATTGATCACAAAGTACAAAGCACAAAGATCACAAAAAAAATAATCACAAAGAGTCACACATACATCTTAAGACACACAAACACAAGCTAAAGTCACCAAGACACCATAGCTATTAACAGGACACTATTACTTTTGGTAAGACACAAACTAAAGTCACAGAGACACCATAGCTAGTCACAAAGACACTAGGGAACTGGGTCCCTGGGCTGAGTGGTCTAACTTACAATTCTGTTGTTTCCCGACACAGTCCAGGTACCCTTCCCAAGTCACCTAACTCTAACAAAGAGTTACATCAAAATTACACAAAAGCTAGCTTGATCCCTGTATTTACAACTATTTCTCCTATGCCTAATTACTACTGATTGGTTATAAATTCTAATCATTTGGTTGGCTAGAATATCAACTCTGAATGGCTACACATAAAATGATTTGATTGGGTGGGTGATTCAATACCTTTTTCAATCCACTTTACTAATTCTGATTTACTACATATTCATGTTTTCTGGCCCTGTGGTTCTTGAAATAGCATTACCAAAATGGTGATAAAGATAGTTACACATTAAATAAATATCTTGTATTTTTTCATCCTGGAACCCACACCAATTCTCTTTTTGATCATACCTTGTAAGTAAGAACAGCATCACAAAAAATTACATTGTTTAAAGTATCATAAACAAGAGGTCCAAGGGCCTTGAATCGCTCTTCTGATAAATTGTACAATCTATCACTTCTATTTGAAGCCTCTAGCCCTAAGTATCCTAAGACCAAAGTTGCATCAACTGACAAAGTTTGATGATTCTTAGCCAATTAGGACTGAAGATATTTTTAATAATAAAGCTATAAAAAACCACAGTGACCTACTTTAAGATTGAAGTTTTCTGAGGACTCAAGATGCATTAATAGACAAAGATTGAAGATTCTAAGCCAATAAGTATTTGAGACATTTAAAAGTAGGTCACCGTGACCTACTTTTTTGTCTACATTCTTTGAAAACCCAAGATACATCAACTGACAAAGTTTGATGATTCTAAGCCAATAAGTACCTGATATATTCAAAAGTAGGTCACCATGACCTACTTTTTGGTCCACATTCTCCGAAAACCAAAGATGCCCCAACTGACAAAGTTTAACAATTCTCTAGGTCAACCAGTACTTGAGATATAAAAATAGCCATAAAATGTCAAAAGTAGGTCAAAGTGATGTAATTTTTGGTTTGCGATCCCTGAAAACTCAAGATGCATCAACTGACAAAGTTTGATGATTCTAAGCCGATATGTACCTGATATACTTAAATATACCCATAAAATGTCAAAAGTAGGTCACCATGACCTATTTTTTTGTCTACATCCTTGGAAAACCCAAAATGCATCTACTGACAAAGTCTGATTATTCTAAGTACTCAAGATACTTATATATAGCCATATAATGTCAAAAGTAGGTCACTCCGACCTAATTTTTTGTAGACGATTTTCGAAAACCCAAGATACATCAACAGACAAAGTTTGATGATTATAAGCCAATAAGTACCTGAGATATTCAAAAGTAGGTCACCATGACCTACTTTTCGGTCGACATTCTCTAAAGACCCAAGATGCATCAACAAACAAAGTTTGATGATTCTAAACCAGTTAGTACCATAGATACTTAAATAAAGCCATTAAATGTAAAAAATTAGGTCACCGTGACCTACTTTCTGGACATCATTCTTCGAAAACCCAAGATGCATCAACTGATGAAGTTTGATGATTCTAAGGCAAAAAGTACTGTAGATACTTAAATAAAGCCATAAAATGTCAAAAGTAGGTCATCGTGACCTACTTTTTGGTCGTCACTCTCCGAAAACCTAAGACGCATCAACTCACAAAGTTTGATGATTCTAAGCCAATAAATACCTAAGATACTTAAATAAAGCCATAAAATGTCAAAAGTAGGTCACAGTGACCTACTTTTTGGTTGTTACTCTCCGAAAACCCAAGATGCATCAACTCACAAAGTTTGATGATTCTAAGCCAATAAATACCTAAGATACTAAAATATAGCCATAAAATGTTGAAAGTAGGTCATCGTGACCTACATTTTGGTCGACGTTTTTCGGAGTCCCAAGATGCATCTGCTGACCAAGTTTGATGATCCTAGGTCTGAAGGTAATCAAAATATGCCTTTTTAAACAATACAAAAACAAATGTCTGCAAAATTCAAAAAGTAGGTCACAGTGACCTACTTTTTCATAAATACATTTTAAGGTCCAAAGATGCATCAACTTACAAGATTTGATGATTCTAAACCTCTCAGTGTCTGAAATAATTGGATTAAATGTTATAAAAAGAATTAGTCATCAAGTTCAAAAAGTAGGTCATGATGACCTACTTTTAAGTTGTCGTTGTTTAAGGACCCAAGATGCATCAACTGACAAAGTTTGATGATCATAGGCCTTAAAGTGTCCAAAATATGCCTTCAAATCAATTTTTTTAAAAATGCCCACAAAATTTAAAAAGTAGGTCACCGTGACCTACTTTTGAGTTAACATGATGTGAAGTCCTAAGATGTATCAACTTACAAGATTTGATGATCCTAGACCTAAAACTAAGCAAAATATAAACGTTTTTATTATTTGTAAATTTAGGTCAACTTTGAAGTGACCTTGAGACCACGCCCTTTGCCCCAGGGTGATGCCTTGAACAATTTTTAATCTTCGACATATCCTGATCCTTGTATGTAAGTTTGGTGAAAATCTGCCTGGTGGTTCTGAAGAAGAAGATTTTTTAGCAACCAGTACTTTTGGTTTTGTTTTCCTGATTATCTCCCCTTGTTTAAGGGTCCCAACCCTTATTTTAGTATAAAAGGTAGCCCTTAGGCCAAGGATACCCTGTGACAAATTTGATACTGATTGGCCAAGGGGTTCTTGAGTTATGGCCCATATTCTAAAAAGTTAACGCACACCGCACACCGCACAAATGGCCATAGCATTAGCTCTTTGAGCCTTTGGCTCAGAAGAGCTTAAAATGATATCAATATCAAGCTACCAATTTACCTATGATGTGTATTTCAGGGGTATGTATAATGATAATTAATATTGTGTTATCAATTTACCTATGATGTGTATGTCAGGGGTAGGTATAATGATATCAATATTGTGTTATATTTGTCATCTCCCTCGGGAGATGACATATTAAGATTGTATGCCGGAAGTGAAGTCCTAGTGAAAGCCTCCATTAATCTTTCGGGAGTCCTCGATGTTTTACAGAGTTCCAAGTAGTCTGTAAACTGGTTTTCTTTTAGAAGAACTAGCTTAGGAGTGTGCTATCTACTTTCGGTTTAGGCCTATTTGAAAGCCAAGGAAAATTTAGAAAAGAAGTACGATGCTCATAAATAGCTATAGTTTCGGTGTGTCGTATACATGTATGTATTGATTCTCAATACTATGCCTTATTAAATTGGTAAGCCACACAAGGAGAACTGACAATGACGTGATTTCTATATATAGATTTGTTGACGCGAAGGGAAAAACTGGTTCTCGCACAAAACAATGCAAAAGAACAAGCTTACAATTAGATTCTGCAAAAAAAATGTATGAAGAATGGTCAACGCTAATTTTATGTTATTTTTTTAGTCTGTAATTGGATTTATTAAATTAATTCCTGTCAAACTTTAATGATTAGCTGCTTTTAAATGAATGATAATTATTGTTGATAATTCCGTATTGTGTTAAGAAAATATAGTTCAAGGAAAGTATTTGAATTTAAGTAAATTGTAAACACCCAGAAGCACAAAGACCGCTAGAATGAAATTTCACCAAAAATCGCCTTGGGTGCTCTCGCAGACGTCCATGCTTTCCATATATGTACTGCGGCTAAAAGAAACTGCGTACTTTACTGTGGAGTTTGCTGAATAAGTCATTTGGGTACTTCAGGTGTAATAATCTATATATTCATTGCATTAAAATATTTCCCTTTCTGTTTTATTTCTTATTGACATTATGACATTATGACATTATTGATACCAAAGAGATGACATTTCAGGCTTTCTGGAAAGCCAAACTTGTTACATCCACTGAATATTTTCTCCTTTGTTTCTTAAGAAAACCCATTGCGTTAATCACTGCATGAACTACATCAGGCATGTCGCCTGTACAGATTTCTTGATCAGTGGCTGTTCCATCAATGAAACGTATAAAGACGTTCGCATCATTAATACAATAATTAAACTTTTTAATCCTTCTTTAAATGATTATTTAAACAAATATAAATATAAACAATAAAATGTCTTTCTTTGTTTATTATTACTGGAATTAACGGTCGCAGCTATTGCAGAAAAAATTTACATAACCCACTTACGCGAGTTATGTATTTTTTCTGCAACAGCTGCTTCCGTTAATTCCAGTAATAACAAACAAAGAAAGCATTTTATTGTTTAAATCAATTTATCCATGATGTGTATGTCAGGGGTAGGTATAATGATATCAATATCAAGCTACCAATTCACCTATGATGTGTATGTCAGGGGTAGGTATAATGATATCAATATCATGTTTTCACTTTACCTATGATGTGTATGTCAGGGGTAGGTATAATGATATCAATATCAAGCTACCAATTCACCTATGATGTGTATGTCAGGGGTAGGTATCATGATATCAGTATTGCGTTATCAATTTACCTATGATGTGTATGTCAGGGGTAGGTATAATATCAATATCATGCTACCAATTTACCTATGATGTGTAATTCAGGGGTAGGTATCATGATATCAATATTGTGTTATCAATTTACCTATGATGTGTATGTCAGGGGTAGGTATCATGATATCAATATCATGTTATCAATTTACCTATGATGTGTATGTTAAGGATATGTATAATGATATCAGTATTGCGTTATCAATTTACCTATGATGTGTATGTCAGGGGTAGGTATAATGATATCAATATCATGTTATCAATTTACCCATGATGTGTATGTCAGGGGTAGGTATAATATCAATATCATGCTACCAATTTACCAATGATGTGTATGTCAGGGGTAGGTATCATGATATCAATATTGTGTTATCAATTTACCAATGATGTGTATGTCAGGGGTAGGTATAATGATATCAATATTGTGTTATCAATTTACCTATGATGTGTATGTCAGGGGTAGGTATCATGATATCAATATCATGTTATCAATTTATCCATGATGTGTATGTCAGGGGTAGGTATAATATCAATATCATGCTACCAATTTACCAATGATGTGTACGTCAGGATTTTCAATGTAGTGGTCAATAAGATTCCCAATGTTGTCCGAGTCCAGCACTTGTGACGCTTGTTGACCAATCAAATACAAGATGTTCCCGCAGTTCTCGGTGATCCTCTCGTCTTCATGATTGGACATCAAACGCTGGATACTCGGGATGAGCGGCTTGCACTTACTGATGGTATTGCTGTCCCTTTTCTGAAGCAGAGATGGACTGATATTATATCCAATCCAGATTACGTTGTACAATATAACAATCTATGTTCCTTGGAATTTAATGCTTATTACTTAGATCTGTCAAAATATTCTGCCTTATTTTACTTGATTACTGTAGACGTACTTTTATCTGCATGGGATTAATTTATGCTATGAAGGCGGACACAATTTTTCTGCAGAAAATTATCACAGCGCAGGCACTAGCAACAGGGGGGCCAGGGGGGGGCCTGCCCCCCCCCCCCCCACTTGTTTTCCCAACATTATTCATACTATTGGGAAGATTCATTAATTCATTGAAAGGCTGGGCAGTTTCCTTTTTTTTTTTTTTTGTCAACTTTTTCAGGTAAGTAAAAAAATTTCTCTGGTTGCCCCCCCCCCCTCCCCCCACTTTCAAAAATGATGCTAGGTGGCTGCAGCGTAGTTTAAGTATATTTAGGAATGAAATTGCACTAAAAGAATGAGAATATGAAAAAGCAGGGACCTATATACAAGTTAGTATATAGTATGCATTTGATTTAATTGGGCCATTACGCATGCCCCAAAATTTAATTCGAATTAGCTTCGCTTAGCGTTCACAAGGAGATAATGCTAAGTAATTTAATGCGCAGTAAATTAATTCGAATCAAACTAATTCGCATTAAATTCGCCGTGTGAACACTAGGCGAAGCTAATTCGCAGTAAACTTACGTTTAATTCGAATTAAACTCTCCGTGTGAACAGGGCATTAACCTCTGAAAAATTAAATTTGCAAGTGATAGCACATGTTCAGTCCTTGTAAAAATAAAGAAGAGAAAATTACTTTCTTTTTATACTTGTGAAAGATTCACAGATATTCCCAAGCTTCTGTTTGTACGGACAGGTGTGTGTTAATCCACATGACTTGATTCCAGTGTTGATAATCGTAGATGTACGTATACAGTATGTGTTTATGGAATTCATTCCCCTTTTTAAAAAAACTTTATTTGAAATTGATGTATGTAAACCTCAAGAATTATTTCATGATCATTCGTAATTTTGTGAGCTGGAGGGAACGTATGTGTATGTTGTTCCGAGTCATTTGAATGTTGTTGTTCGTTGAAAAAATTGTATATTCATAAGGCAGACAAATTTTAGGGATAAACTAATATTTTTCTCATATATTCAGTGTAGGTACAATATGTATTTTTGGCATTCAAAGATTTCCACATAATTTTTTACCCACGGATCAAACTAATGTTGTGATTCCGTGGAATTATGACCTCGTGGAAATAAATATGTCTACAGTATTAAGTTTAGCAGAGGTGTCTCAGGGATTTTGCTATAAAGTAGTTTTTTTTTACATTTCATATACATGTACATGGATCAAATATTTAATATGGTTTACAATATTGCTATGAACAATTTGTATCTTTGAATGACCATTCTCAATCTGAATGATCACTAATCAAAGTCAAGATATTACAAGTTAAATTGATGCAAAGCATCAAATCGGCCGCAAACAAAATTTAGCATAAACAAATTTCTTTTACAATTTTCAAAGTGTCCATGAAAGGAAAGCACGTCTAAATACTAGTATTAAAAGGTGAAATAGTTGATTCAATTTTATTTTAGGCTGTCTTCAAAGCAAAATAAATAATTAATTAAAATTAAAAAAATAGACATTTACCCCATTTGCTTATAAATAGATTCATCGATGTAAAAAGGGCAGCAATAAATGATAAGAATTTATTGTCATCAAAATAAAGATGTAGGTATCTCAAGATGAACCAGGTGCTGATACCCTGGATCTTGGTCACGTGATAATGCCCATGGTTGTGCTGCAAGGCGCAGTACAAAATGTAGAAAAATTTCTTTGTGTTATTTGCAGCCGTAGAGCATGTTCAAAACAATTTTTACTGGTTGAAATTTTTTTCAATTTTTATTCACCAATCCATGCACATTTACACGTCATTTTTATCCGGAAAATCATGACGATTTCCTTTCATATCTTATACACTCCCAGGCTGGGGAGTATCTATTGTTAACTCTTTTTACATAACCATAAATTATCAATTATCTGATGAGAAATGATAAAGAAATTGAAACATAGTAGCAACAATTAACACTATATTCAAAGCAATTTTTGAAAATATTTTACTCATGGTTTTCTACTTGTTATCATTTGAGAAATATTTTCCTGACCTAATGAAAAATAACGTCTCATTTCCCCATGTGCACTTTCTAACACAATCACAAATAGATCGGCCGCTGCTGCGGCCGATAATAATATCTAGTGCATAAAACTTTTGTAAAAGTTGTTTGACAATAAGAGGAAAGATAGTTCACTCACTGCACGGACAAATCTTGCAAGTATATCTGTGGCAATGATCCCAAACACGGTCACCTGACCACTGGACCAATCACAGAGCTCCCGTTCCTCCTCCATACAATACAGAATCATGTCAATCATTTTCTGGTCCACCTCCGAATCGTTAAATTGTTTGTCTCTAAAATGGACAAAAAAGGGTTTAAATGATTAAATACTGTAAACATATTACATTTGGCTGTGTATTCTTTTCAGCGCCTTTGGCTGAAAGAAACTTCTGCTAATTCAGTACAACGTTAAATATCTTGCACATATATACTTTTAAATAAGAACATCAAGAAATCTAGATCAAATCTAGGCTAACTTGTTCAAAATTCAGTTTCCGCCAAATACTGTACATGCCAAATATAACACATTTACAGTAACAGAATTGAGAAAGTCACTCAGTAAAAGAATAAAAGTTCCTGTATTCTATCTTCTCATTATCATATTTATCGTTCTAAAAATAATGCTGATCTTTGTCTTAGTGGACTTAGCTGTCATTCTCAGCCTTTTTTCCAAATTGATAATACTTTATACATGTGAAGATTGTAGATTAGAAATTGTATGATTTAACATAAAGTTATGATTAAATTACAAATGTTAAACTTTTTAACCTTGACCTTCACCATCTGGTTCAAAAATTGAGTGTCTTAATATTTTCCTGTAAGAAGTCTATGGTAAAAAAATAAAGACCTATTGCATAAAAAAAAATTAAAACTATCATGACCTTTGACCTTGAACAAGTGATTTGAAAGTAATGGTCACCTACAGGCACCTGACATTACTTATTTTTCTTTTAATAAAAAAATATACCCATATCTTCTAATAATAAACAAGGTACCCATCGAGACCGCCATCTTGGATTTTCGAAGTAGGTCATTCACTTGTATTTTCGGCTGAAACTCCGTTAAATAAATTCCCTGCAACCATATTCTTTCTGTTTGCAGTCTTTCGAGGTCTAAACTTACGGCCAGTGCAACCAGAAGGGCGCATCACCCTTGCAAATATTAAAAATCACTTGCCAAACTCGATCTACTGCTTCAACAATGCGAGAAATCGCCAAAGGGGGGCCAGAAGTTTACATTCGACTTGAAATTCTTAGGGAAAGCCCTTTTTTGATTGGTCAATATATTTGTAAGATTTATTTTTAAAAATAACCAGTTAAAGTTGGTACTGATTCCAAAAAACAATCTATCAGACAGTAATACAACGTAATATAAGAACATTCATTTTCTTTCCTTCCAAAATAATCTTGATATAGGCCTAGCTTGATCAAAGCGATCATATTTTGTAAATGTCGAAGATCGGCCTGATGAACAAATCGGCTTCAGGTCCATACTTACACGGAATGAACATGCTGAATATAATTAATAACACATTGTCATTATTGGTGCAATGTTTGAGCGTTATCCATGGAGAAGATTGACCTTGTTTATTTAAAATACTTTTTAAAAAGTGACCCCCCTTTTTTTATTAAAGATTGTTGAACGCAACGATCTGTATAGATCAAGACAGTATCAAATTTTTACACTTGAAGGTATATTTACAAGAAGTATTTATTTTTCCCATTTTTTCCATTTTAGTAATTGAAATACTTATTAAAAATTTCACAGTAATTACAACAGGCCGATTTAGATCCACCCAAAAACTTACAAATTAATACGGAATTCCCATTAGCATATTGATGTAAACTTCCGGCCCCCCTTTGGCGATTTCTCGTATTGTTGAAGCAGTAGATCAAGTTTGGCAAGTGATTTTTAATATTTGCAAGGGTGCTGCGCCCTTCTGGTTGCAATGGCCATAAGTTTAGACCTCGAAAGACTACAAACAGAAAGAATATGGTTGCAGGGAATTTATATAACGGAGTTTCAGCCGAAAATACAAGTAAATGACCTACTTCGAAAATCCAAGATGGCGGTCTCTATGAGTACCTTGTTTATTATTAGGTATGGGTATATTTTTTTTATTAAAAGAAAAATAAGTAACGTCAGGTGCCTGTGTGGTCACCTACACAGAAAATGTGGAGTTGTGTAACTAAGATAACAGATTATAAGATAATTAAATGTACTTACTCATAATAAATTGAGTTAACAAGGTAGCTGATGAATACAGAACCCAGGTAGCTCTGTGAACTGTTGTCCCAAGGAACATTGTCATCCTTCAGCAACACCATAAAGCGGTCCAAGTACTGACCCATCAAATCTTTGTTGTGCTGTAATATAATTATACAGTTTATACAGTAAAACTCGGTTATAGCGAAGTCCTAGGGACCTGTGACTTTAATTCACTATATCCGTAATTCCTTATATCCGTATAAGGAATTCGTATAACCATTATAGTGAATTCGCAATATGGATGTTTTCCTTCAAGTATTACTACAAAATATATTAGGGAAAGCTATATTACAAAAATATCTTCGATAACTAAGGTTTTATTATGAATTGGATTTTATATAAAAATTCTTGAAGGAAATAAAGTCAGTTCTATTTATTAATTTTTTTTATAATCTTTGAAAGTTCGTTATAAAAGATGTAAATTTCATTATATTTAACCTCTACGGGACTCAAAATCAGTTTGCTATATCCGTAAATTCATTATATCAGAGTTCACTATAACCGTAAAATTTTACAAAGATTTTCTAAGAATTTTGCCAGGGACCCAGAAAAACTTCACTTTATCCGTGAATTCGCTATATCCGTGTTCATACTAAACGAGTTTTACTGTATATGTAGGACTCCAAAGTCTGATGGTCACGCCAAAGTCCGATGGTCTGCACCAAACCCCGATGGTCTGACACGCCAAAGTCCGATGGTGGGGAAATCAATTAACGTTTATGACGTCATAGCAGCACTGCGCCAAACCTCGATCAATGCCGCGCCATGTCAAGGTCTTTAAAATATGTATAAATAAATGCAAAAACTAACCCTTATCTCTCATGGGTGTGATATTAACGCTCGAAAAGTGTATAAACAATAACCTAAATATCTTGAGTGGGGGCAAGACTAACCCTAATCACTCGACTAGTGTGCAAGGACTAACCCTAATTCACTCGGGTTGTGCAATGCAAGGACTAACCCTTAAATCAATCGAGTGGTGAGTGAGGACTAACCCTCATATATCTGGAAGGTGCAAGCAATAAGCAAAATCAATAAAATTGTATTCGAGGACAAATTCAGAAATGATTGCTTTTGAATGCAGGAAAAATGCAAGGATTATTGTGACGTCATAAACGTTGATTGTTCATCCAAAACATAGGACTTTGGCGTGTAAAACCATCGCACTTCAGCGCAACGTGTCTCATAGGAAATGAGCCATCGGACTTTGGAGTGACCATCCGACTTTGGCGTCCGTAATGACAGAAAGCTATCGAGGTTTGGCACAGACCATCAGGGTTTGGTGAGACCATCGGATTTTGGCATCCGTAAAGACAGCGAGCCATCGGGGTTTGGCCCAGGCTATCGGGGTTTGGCCCAGGCTATCGGGGTTTGGCGAGGCTATCGGACTTTGGTGTCACCATCGGACTTTAGAATCTTACATATAAATAAATGTCATAGAGAGGTCCAGATACTGACCAATAAGATCTTTGTTGTGCTGTAATATAAGTATACAGTTTATATATATAAATGTCACAGAGAGGTCAAGATACTGACCAATAAGATCTTTGTTGTGCTGTAACATAAGTATACAGTTTATATATATAAATGTCATAGAGAGGTCCAGATAATGACCAATCAGATCTTTGTTGTGCTGTAATATAAGTATACAGTTTATATATATAAATGTCATAGAGAGGTCCAGATAATGACCAATCAGATCTTTGTTGTGCTGTAACATAAGTATACAGTTTATATATATAAATGTCATAGAGAGGTCCAGATAATGACCAATAAGATCTTTGTTGTGCTGTAATATACCGGTAAGTATACAGTTTATATATAAATGTCATAGAGAGGTCCAGATAATGACCAATCAGATCTTTGTTGTGCTGTAACATAAGTATACAGTTTATATATATAAATGTCACAGAGAGGTCCAGATACTGACCAATAAGATCTTTGTTGTGCTGTAATATAAGTATACAGTTTATATATATAAATGTCATAGAGAGGTCCAGATACTGACCAATCAGATCTTTGCTGTGCTGTAATATACCGGTAAGTATACAGTTTATATATAAATGTCATAGAAAGGTCCAGATACTGACCAATCAGATCTTTGTTGTGCTGTAACATAAGTATACAGTTTATATATAAATGTCACAGAGAGGTCCAGATACTGACCAATCAGATCTTTGCTGTGCTGTAATATACCGGTAAGTATACAGTTTATATATAAATGTCATAGAGAGGTCCAGATACTGACCAATCAGATCTTATAAGTTTACGGTTTACATAATTCCTCACCTGCAGGATGCCATTGTTGGTTCTACATCCATCAATGATATAATATCTCACCTTCAGTGATGCCTTTGAGGCTGCTTCATTTGTCAGTTTATATAATTCTTCTACTAAGTCATGTTTCTCCAATAGCTTCATACATAGCTCTATTACCAGTACTTCACAACTTTTTTGGGCTTTACAGTTTCTATTAAAAAAAAAAGCCAAAGTTATAGAATATATGCTACACAAATGTAGCTGTTATTATATAATAATTGAGGATAACTGTGATGGTCATTCTATAACAACAGAGGAAAACTGCAGTAGTCATTCAATAATAACAGAGGATAACTGCAGTAGTCATTCTATAATAACAGAGGATAACTGCAGTAGTCATTCTATAACAACAAGGAAAACTGCAGTAGTCATTCTATAACAACAGAGGATAACTGCAGTAGTCATTCTATAACAACAGAGGAAAACTGCAGTAGTCATTCTATAACAACAGAGGAAAACTGCAGTAGTCATTCTATAACAACAGAGGATAACTGTGGTAGTCATACAATAATAACAGAGGATAACTGTGGTAGTCATACAGTAATAACAGAGGAAAACTACAGTAGTCATTCTATAACAACAGAGGATAACTGCAGTAGTCATTCTATAACAACAAGGAAAACTGCAGTAGTCATTCTATAACAACAGAGGATAACTGCAGTAGTCATTCTATAACAACAGAGGAAAACTGCAGTAGTCATTCTATAACAACAGAGGACATGTCAATCAATATCTGCAAAATTTCCTGGGCTGCCTCTGTATTTTCCTGTTGATTAAAACATTCTGAAGAATCAACTAACCCATACGTCAATTTCTACTAGTATAAATCATACCTTAATTTATTCAAGTCAATGCAATAGGTTTGGTATATGACATATGACAGCATATGAATACGTGTATATGCAACAGCTTCTGTATACTGTAAAATCACAAATTTTCGTTGGGGTTTAATTTTCGTTGTTTTCAAGATATGAAGAGACCCACAAATTCATGTCCACCATGAAATGTAAAATGTTACATACATTAGTACTCAACAATTCTTAGTCCACGAAATCAAATCCCCACAAACCAAAGGTTTTTCTCAAACCACGAAAATTTGATCCCACGAAAATATATGATTTTACAGTATATAAGCTCAAATCATCCATTGTCACACACATTTCAGAAGCAACAGCTTTAGAAGAACAGAATTTTTGGATTGATCTACCTTCCAGTTCAGACAGCGAACCCACTGGTCATCTCTAATCACTCTACAAGCTGCCTCCATGGTTACTGGGATCTGCCACTTCACACAGTTAACTAAAATTGGGATCCACAGCTTCTCATATTTTCTGCAAAAGACAAAAGCAATCAAAGGCCTGAAAGGACTGGTATTCAAAGATTGTCATGATTAAATTAAACTAGAAATATGTCCAGAGGACATGAATGTCCTGCCAAGGGTATATTAGTAATGCAACATGAAAATTTGAATTAGTGTATGAAATTTGATAAGAATATCTTGGATATATATGATAAATTCTCACAAAATTATGTACAAGTGCATAAGCTTATATAAATACACCTTAAATGGTTTCTTTAAAACTAAGCAAAATGCAAATTTAAGAAAAGTGAGGTCAAAGTCACAGGAAAGTTCAAGGTCAAAAATTTTTATGCTGTTGAATAGTTCTCATATAAACATATTAAGCTTGATAAAATTAATTTGAATGTTCTATTTACAACTGAGATAAACACAAATTTAAAATAAATGAAGTAAAGGTCAAGGGAAAGGCCAAGGTCCAAAAAATATTATGCAGTTGAAAAGCTTACTGATCTTAGATCAGTATGTATTTAGCATATAAGGTTGATAAAAATATGATGAATATTTTCTTTAAAACTGAGATAAATGAAAGGTCAAGGTAAAAAATGTTGATGCTGTTGAGTTGATTACATCAGTATGTATCAGCATATGTAGTTTGATACTGATTCAAGAAAAGTGAGGTCAAGGTTAAAAAATGTTGATGTAGTTGAATAGGTTTCATCGATATTTATCAGTATATTCATCAGAATGTATCAGCATTTTGAGTTTGATAAAAATATCTTGAATAGCTTCTTGAAAACTGAGTTAACTACGAATTTAAGAAGAGCAGGGTCAAGGTCAAAGGAAAGGTCAAGGTTAAAAAATGTTGATGCAGTTGAATAACTCTTACCAGTATGTATCACCATATGAAGTTTGGTAAAAATGTCTTAAATGGTTTATCTAAAACTGAGCTAAATACTAATTAAAGAAAAGCGAGGTCAAGATCAAAGGAAAGGTTAAGGTCAAAAAAGCTGATGCAGTTGAATAGCTCATCAGTGTTATCAACATATGAAGTTTGTTAACACTGTCTTGAATTGTATCTCTAAAATTGAGCTAAACACTAATTTATTTAAGAAAAGTGAGGTTAAGGTCAAAGGAAATGTCAAGGTCAAAAATGTTCATGCAGTTGCATAGCTCTCATCATTATCTATCAGCATATGAATTTTGGTGAAAATATCTTGGATAGTTTCTTTAAAATTGAGCTTTGAACTGAGCTAAACGCAAAGTGTGATGGAAGGACAGATGAACAGCTAGACAGAAGACGAACATGACAAACACTATATGCCCTGGCCATCATAAAAACACTCAAAAATATTAAAGAGACACATGATGAAAGTTTCCGAAACCATGCTGAGCATAGACTGCAAGTTGAAAACATGAGGCCCATGGGCCACATCGCTCACCTGAGTAACTTGGGTGATGCAGTTCTTTACCAGATTTCCCCTCTTGTTATACCTAGTGTGGCCTCATAACCCCCTCCCCTGTCATGATTTTTATACTTTAAAATCTACACTACCACAGGATGTTTCCACATAAGTTTCGACTTTCCTGACCCAGTGGTTCTTGAGAAGATGATTTTTCAATATTTTTCACATGTATGAATTTGTATGTAAAAATTGGATTCCCTATGTGGCCCCGCCCTACCCCCGGGGGTCATGATTTAAGCAATTTAGAATTTACATTACCCAAGGATGCTTCCATAAAAGTTTCAGCTCCACGGGCCCAGTGGTTCTTAAGAAGAAGATTTTAAAAGATTTTTCCTTTATATTTAAGGTCTTCCGTTTCCAACGGAAGACCTTCTATGATTCTGATGATTAAGATTATTTTTAGAATTTACATTTTCACCTTTAATTTCCATAAAAGTTTCAGCTTCCAAAAATTCGGGCCCAGTGGTTCTTAAGAAGGCAAAAGATTTTAAAAGATTTTTCCTTTTTGTTTTTCGATATTTCTATATAAAACTTTTACACATATTTTGCTTTTTATCTTCTAAACTAAAAATATTTTGTTATTTATTCTGACCCAAATTAAGGGATCCCAAAAGTATATCTGAAAAAGTATTGAGAATTTGTTATACGTTTAAGAAGCAAAGTTGTTCAAAATTTCAATCTTAATCTATTGAAGTCGTCAAAAACTCTTCCACATAAGTGCACATTCAAAGTTTTAGGGTAACTTGTCACTGGCTTAGTGGTTCACTTCCCGGGAAATAGCCAAGATTTTAAAAGATTTGAAATTATAAAGTGACTATATACACTACCTCATTGTTTTCTTTTGTTGACGTCACTTCCGGTCAAATTGCTTCCACATATTATATCAGTTTCTAACTTTCCAAAGATGCTTCCACATAAGTTTCAACTTTCCTGGCCCAGTGGTTCTTGAGAAGAAGATTTTAAAAGATTTTTTCTATATATTTCTATGTTAAACTTGGATTCCCTATTGTTGCCCCCTCCTACCTCCGGGAGTCATGATTTTAACAATTTGAATCTACACTATCCAAGAATGCTTCCACATAAGTTTCAGCTTTCCTGGCTCAGTGGTTCTTGAGAAGAAGATTTTTTAATGACCTCACCTTATTTTTGTCTTTTCTTGATTATCTCCCCTTGTAAGGAATCTTGGCCCTTCATTTTTTAAAAATCTAAACTCCCCTTCACCCAAGGATGCTTTGTACCAAGTTTGGTTAAAATTGGCCCAGTGGTTCTTGAGAAGAAGTCGAAAATGTGAAAAGTTTACAGATGGATGGACGGACGACGGACAAAATGTGAAGAGCTAAAAAGACAGTTTAGACAATTGTTTATAATTTAATTTTAGTTGTAACATGTCATTTGATTGGGTAAATGTTTCATTCATTTTGTATAACATAACTTCCCTAAGTCACAACGAGTTACATCAAATCCGTATTACTTCGCTTGACTTTATTTTTAAAATATGCTATATTTGAAGCCTGTTTCCGGAGGAAAAATTGTCTCATTTTCAACACTGAAATCAAATTATAAGGAATGAAGTTTATTTCAACTTATGTTATACTGTATAGCAGGTTTTCTTGGTGGGTGTAAAATTTGGCTTTTTGCCTACTCTAAGGTATGCCAATAATTTTGGTGTGGTTTATTTTAGCAGAATCAGGGTTTAAGCTCTTTGCAGATGGACACTAATAAGAGTCCTGACAATTTTAGCGATTAAAATTTTAGCGGACTATCAACAAAACGCCAAAATAAGCCAAAATTAGCATCCCGCTAAAATAACCTGCTATACGGTATGATATAACATAAATTGGGGTAGTTTACACCTTTTTATAAACCGATTTGTGGCTTATAAAGCGTAAACTGCCCCAAGTTATGTTATATATATATTGTATAACATAAGTTGAAATACTGTAAATGTATTATATTTAGCATGTACAATATTTGGTGGAAAGTGATTATTGAACAAGTTAGCGTAGATTTGATTTAGCGCATTTCTTGATTTTCTTATTAAAATATATATGTACAAGACATTTAGCATTGTACTTGAATTAGCGGAATTTTGTTTCTGCCAAAAACGCTAAAAAGAATACACCACCAAATGTAATACGTTTACAGTAAGCTTCATTCCTTAAATCAAACCTTTAACAAGGTAACTTATAATTTCTACTATTGATTAAAGTCTGTGTTTTATTCATTCTATTTAGCGACATTTTAAAATTGTGGAGTGCCATGAAATGGTGTAAATGAGACCAACAATTTTTGAATTTCCACTTACTTCTGAGGTTTAGTGTTATCCCTGAAATCATATATCATAGATCTAATGATTTTCCCTGTTTTCCCAGTCTTCACTGA